GTTGGAGGAGAACAGCTAAAACAAGTAGATAAGTTCACGTACCTGGGAGGAACAATAAGCCAGACAGGATCCTGCTCGGAAGAGGTAAAGCACCGCATTGGAAAGGCAATAGGAGCATTCCAAGCACTCAAGAAAATCTGGGCATCACAAGATATACGCTGCTCAACAAAGGTAGATCTGTACAAAGTCCTGGTGTTGTCTATTCTGTTATATGGTGCAGAAACATGGACATTAAAGAAGGTAGATGAAAATAGACTTCACACTTTTGAGATGGCATGCCTCAGGAGAATCATGGGTGTGACCAGATTTGACAGGCTAAGGAACACACACATACGAACACAACTGAATATGGAAGAAACTATCATCGACAGGGTTGCCACAAAAAGACTGAGATACTTTGGACATATCAACCGAATGAATTCAAAAAGATACCCCCACATCCTTCTCAATGGAAATATACATGGCAAACGCCCAAGGGGAAGACCAGCTAAGAGATGGACAGACTGCATCAAGGCGGACTGCAAAAACAGACAAGTTGACTCCCTGACTAAAGCTACAAGGTTAACAGAAGACAGGAAGGTGTGGCAAGCCATAGTGAAACAGAAGCCATCATACATCCCAGTGATGGTGTGGACGGCTTAAGTCAAGTAAGTCAAATATCTATATCATCTATATATTCATTTATTCATATAACTTTCCCATTACACAAAATATACCTTGTTTTCCAGCTGGACTGCCTGGTTCACTGTACCGGTATCCACTGCAAAAATGCAGGTGTTAAAGCAACACAACTGATAAATCGGACCACTTGGATAGATACAATTTGCTGTTATTATCACTTGTGTGAGTAACATCTAGATATTAAAAGCACACACTCAGTATACTATATATATATGCAGACAGTTGGCATACATTATTGTGCATGTTGGGTTTGTCGGCGATTTTAATTATAGTTGGACAGGAGAAAATCAAACTAATAAAAGAAAGTTTCTTTGTTTGCAGATAAATGAGCTAAGGTAAACAATTTTTACACTTTGATGATAAGAATTAAGAAACTGCGTAATAATAAGTGGTGTAGTGGGATTGGCATCTAGTTCGCATTTGGCAATCATCGGTTTTGGAATCAGCGCCCTCGATTTGCCAAAAATCGAGCCATAAATGTTCTTAGAATGAACGTTGTCATGATTCAGCGACCATTTTGAATTTTCAAGGTTTCACGTATGGCCTTCATCGGATTTGGATTCAGTACCCTCGAATTGACAAGAAAACATCAAATAACCTATTAAAAGGCCAAAGAATAAGCTTTTTCATAATATTTAGCGGCCATTTTGAATTTTCGCGTTTTACGAGAGATGCTCAAGGTTTTACGCCTGGCAGTCATCAGATTTGGATTCAGCACCCTCGAATTGACAAGAAAACATCAAATAACCTGTTAAACGGCCAAAGAATAAGCGTTTTCATGATTTGGCGGCCATTTTGGCGGCCATTTTGAATTTTCGCGTTTTACGAGAAATGCTCAAAGTTTCGCGTCTGGCACTCATCGGATTTGGAATCAGCACCCTCGAATTGACAAGAAACCATCAAAAAAACATTGTATATATAAAAAAAACAAGGTTCCTTGCTCTCTAGCCTGGACTATAAGCCTCTATATTAGAGGGCTCCTTTTTGACAGAGAGAGGAAGACAGGGAGAAATTAAGAGAGAGAGAGAGAGAGAGAGAGAGAGACAGTAAGAGAGAGAGAGAGAGAAAGTAAGAAAGAGAAGGAGATGAAGAGAGAGGGAGAGAGAGTAACAAAAGGAGCCTCTGGAAATAAGATATGGGATTGACTGAGAGAAGAAGTCTTTAAACAAAAAGTAAAAAGTGAAAAGAGAGACAATATGAACTACAAGAAAAGAGGAAATACCACACGAAATACATCAGAGAAAGAGGTATAGATAGATGGATAGATAGACATAGAGAGGGAAGGGACATGGGCAGATAGGGTGAGAAAGGTGTATATATCATATACATTATATAGAAAGGGGGAGAGACGGAGAGAGAGACACACAGGAAGATAGAGAAAGAGAGACAGAGAAGGGCAGAGAGTTCAATAGAGAGCGGAAGAGTGCGTGTTTGTCTGAGAGAGAGAGAGAGAGAGAGAGAGAGACAGACAGAGACAGAGACAGAGAGAGAGAAAGAGAGAGAGAGGGGGAGAATGAGATGAAGAGAGAGAGAGAGAGAGATAGAGACTGAATGGGAGATGTGTTAAAAAGGAGTTGCCTCGTCTACCAGAGCAACATAGGATATCATCGGGTAAGGTCTAAATATCTTGAGATGTTCACAATAAGAATTTAATCGGATTATCATTCCCCCCCCCCCTTAAGTTGATAAGCGTTTTCAATCATTTTTAAAGTTAGTTTGGTACAATACAAGAATATATTTTTAAGGAAATATGTATATAATGACCATAAGAGTAAAGTGAAGAAACGTGAATGAAGCAGTGATAATATTTTTAAAGAAAAATCATTCTCTCGCTGACTATTTTGGAGCCTGAAGTTGGGAAAAAAGCCGATCGGTCAGACTGCCTTCCAAAACTATCCAGTTATTAAATAAAATGTTGTAATCGTTATCATGTAAAACGTTCTTTCGATCCATCTAATATATCTGACTGTCCTAAACAGTCATAGAAAACAATAGAATAAAGTACTCGATCTGATCATACATGTAGTTACTTCAATTTTGTTATGGTTAAAAGCGACGGTCGGTGTTTTAAAGTTCATGCAATAATCATTGTCATCAATTTTTGTTAAAGCAAAACGTTGACGGATATAACATTATCGTAATACTAATCCTTTTTTAAACTAGTTTTTCGGTGTCATTCTTTATCCAATTATTGAGGTCTTCTGTGTGATATACTATTTTTTTTTAATTTTTAAATCAATTATTGTTCCCCTTTTTCAAACACTATATCTGTTTTCTTTTATTGGCAATTATACATTTGTGCAAATCATGTTTATATTTACAGTAATAGCTAATTTACAATACTTTTACTAATACCAATATCATGTAATGATTCACATTTCTAGAGCAGAAAGGGGTTATTCTGTGTAAAATATAAAAATGAATGCAATTTCGCCTCTTTCCAGATAGTATAATTATATGAATCGTTAAAGCACGACATCGTGAATTAATATCAAAATGCTTTTAAAACTCGTTTTTGCAATTCTTTAATTTTTCAAAAGTCAATATTTAATCTTACCTCGACGTCATTCTTTGAATATTTGGCTTCTGTGAGGAGCACCAAGGCGAGTAATAAAGCAATAACTGACAGTTTCACCCAACAACCCATTCTGTTGATCTGTATCTTTACACGAGTCGACTCCCTCAAATATATATTTTCACGCGATGGTGAGCTAGTAGTTGAAGTTTCTCAGCTTTAGGGAGAGAATTCCAAGAAGTAAAGTCCAAGGAGTGTGTTTGGCAGCCTTACTAATTCGTGATTAAGCTTTGGGATGGCAAACCGGGTGAGAATTTGGGGAGCGGAACTTGAGGCGAGCGCTTGCGATGGAAAAAAAACTGAAACGTCGGAAATTGCGCGCGCATTAGGATCCGTGCGTGCGTTTCATTTTTTTTTCTTTTTTTTTACTGCAGTCTACATTCGTCTCCCGCGGAAGTATGGGCTTTGCTTTTTGCCGAGGCGGTAGGATTATCTTCACCTTTACATATTGACTGGGTTTTTATTTCTTGGTATTTGTGTGGAAGACTTCAATAAGTTTATATCTCTAAATTAAATACCGCGAAATTGTTTGTTTATAAATCACTATGTTTCAAATAATGCAAGGTATGCAATACAACATACTGCACCAATACAGAGATAAAATGACACATAGTATCGTGAGCTGAGAGCCATTAAATGGACTTGGTAACAATGTTCAGATGAAATAAAAATGGTGCTATATGACTCCAATGCTCAATGTACAATTAAAGGTTGATAACAATTTGGAAAAACTGATCTGATCTATTCCTAAGTTTTCCAAACTATTATTATTATTAAGAAATTAAACTTTAGGTGAATCACAATCTTCATAAAGCAAGTAATTTGCTTTTTATACCATTCCAAACATTCAAGTGTTGGCATAATTTTAAAAGCCTGTTTTAAGTCTTATTTTCATGAAAAAACGGTTGGGAAAATTCACAAATTGGTTGGGATAATTTACAGTTAGAGGGAGTTACACATCGACGCCTTCAAAGAAAACAATAAATATCTTTGTGGTTAGAGAAGGGATATAATAAGTATCATTTCATACAAACAATTGGCAGTTTTTGCCATCAACCTTCAACTAATACGGTTCACTTTTTGTTTAAAGGCCTTAACCCGTATACTTCAACACAAACTTAAAGAGAAGGTTGCGTTCTGGGAAGAGGTGAAAAATAACTTGCGAGTGTAATCATTGTATTTTGCAAATGTGGAAGAACATCAGATAAAAAAATGTTCCCTGAAAAGCATGGCTCTAAAAAAAGTGTGAATATTCTACATATGGCATGTAACATCATACAAATCGGGATGGATTTGTATGCCACATGTTCCTGTAGTCCCATATATATATCTGTCTGTGTACAGTGTTTGTTATTTGACCAAGACTGGGCCCAATTTATTTGATGATTCCAGAACCTTGCAGTACACACTAATTATATGCTAGGTGATCAATCTTTTCTGATCGATTCCACATTTCTTTCACAAAGCAAATGCATGACAAGAACTCAACTTTATCTGTAATGCCCTACTTGTTCTCAGTTCCCATTCGAAGCTTCCAAAACTAATGATGTAAACGTACATTATAAACGGTGTTAACACGATGATGGAAGAAGGTGGATGGAGTATTGGACTATCCGTCCTTCCCTTTAAAGAAAAATACTGTAGATGGCGCTATAAGATTTACAGAGGCAAAGAGCATTCTGCACCACCATATTTTCACTGTTTGGTCCATCATGAATATGAGTTTCTTGGCAAAAGATACTTGATGTCAGACACATACCAGTATTTCCGTTGGAGGGTATGCGAAAAGATAGAAATATAGATAGAAAAATAAATACATAATAATATCACAAGTAAGCTTTATTATTGTAACGGGTTGATGTTACAAAGAGTCCAAAGTGCATGTTCAAGACTTGTATATCGTCGGTCGAAATTCACTTCAACCGCACCTCTTCTGAGAGAAATCACCTGGTTGCCAGTCCGTCACAGAATCTCATTTCAAATATTGTTAATTGTCAGTTGATAAATTATTGTTTCAGATTCCCCATGGCAAAACTAAAGTAACTCTCGGGGACCGTGCTTTTGCTATTGCTACCCCTAAACTATGGAATAGCTTGCCAATAGAAATACAAAGCACTCCATCTCTCAATGTTTCCAAATCTAATTAAAAAACTTATTTGTTCAATTGAGAGATCTTATTTGTAGAACTTAGTAAAAAAAGAGCTCTTAAGTAGTGCAGCTGAATATATTTTGAATAAAAGCTGCGCTATATGAATTTATTATTAATATTATTAAGACAGACCTCCCTTTTGAATTTGTATTAATTGAAAGACGTTTAGATAAGATTTAAACATAATCATATCGTGGACCACATTAATTATTATTTGTATTGCACAATATATCATGACATTTGTATAGATTTCATGGATCTATACAAGACAGTGGTTAAAAGGTTTTATAACAATTTTTAAACGTGTTGATAATTGTGTGGCTATCAAAGCTAACCTGGTCTTTATATAATATTTATACATTCATGCATGTGTTTTTGATTTACTTTAAAACGCCGTTTGTGAATATTATTGAAGATCACTCACAGCAATGTCTAACAGGAGATTTCCGAAAAGAAAAGGCATGGTTGTTCTCCCCTGTTTTTAAATCCTTCTTCATTATTGCAGATAACTTTCATTGCCATAAGGGGTCGTGTAGCTCCTCAGATCAGTGTAGGCTACATTCAAATATGTGAAACAACATATATATGTAAGTATTTGAAAGATACATTACACTAGAAGTATAGGTGCACGTAATGCCACAAAGTTTAATCTACAAAAGATCTAACTTGTTATGAATCTAAAGAGAACGACTGAATTAATAAAACCCCATTTAAATACATCGTAATAGAGATGTGATTCTAACACGATAGGAAATACTTTCAAGAAACAAACTAAAGTGCAATGTCAGTAGTCAGTACCCTTTTTCATTGCCTTTTGAAACCCTGTCCGGATTACGTATAATATCTATTTCATGTTCGCACGACCATGTCAATATGACGCCCATCGCAAACTTCACGATCCTCCTGCGATCGATTTTCTAGGTAATTATAATTATATCAGATATGGAAGTCTAAGCTAATATCATTTTCCTGATCTAATTTTTGAATAATATTGATAATGCTAACAACAGGAATTTTAGTGCATTTCATTTTACTACTAAGATTCACAGCCAATTCGGCTTCAAAATATATATAATCGGCACACTGGTCTGACGTCACTGTGAGCCACGATTTAGCCACTTCTCCTCAGAGGAAGCATGAACTCGCTTGGAAGTTACATTTTATTAATCATATGACTATTCAGATTCACGGTAATCAAGATTTTACACGTTTGAATGTCCATATGAAATGCTGCTGCAATTAATCAAAAATCGGATCATACAATATGATCTAATTTGTGAATAATATTGATAATGCTAACAACAGGATTTTAGTGCATTTAATTTTTCTACTAAGATTTACAGCCAATTCGGCTTCAAAATACATATTTGCTTTACTGTTCTGACGTCACTGCGACTTTAAGCCGATTTAGCCACCCTTCCTCCGAGGAAGCATTAAGTCCCTTGGAGGTTCAGATAATCGGTCATTAAGATTTTACATGTTTGAATGTCCATATAAAAATGCTACTGCAATTAATCAAAAATCGGATCATAGTAAGATCATATAGACAATGGGCTTTAATTAAATCGTCTCAGGTTCATTTCTTTAAATAGTCATTGCGATCTTATTCAATGTACTCCATTTTCAAATTAAACAGATCCGCTTGTAACAAAACAGCCATCAACTGAATCATTCACTTCGACCACTTTAACCACTTCCTTAGAAGGTAAGTGTCATTTTCATTATTATAATATATCTAACATCTCAGATTTCACTAGGTTCCTTTATATTTCACCCCCAATTTTGTTCCATGTACCTTGGATATATAATACTCGGTATGATTTTTCTTTGCCAAGTGACTAAAAAGAAGAGGTAGGATTCTTCACTCAGTTCAAGTCAATTAAATTCAACTCTATTCAATTTCGTCATCATCGGAGCTTTTATTTGCCAGGGGCCTTTTGTAATGTATATTTTAATACTAACAATAACAATTATAATAATCATATCGATAATAATAATATTATTTTTCTTTCTTCATTTAACACAAAGTAGGAAACATAATGTGATCATAAAAGAGAAATCTGTTTATATGATCGCAACTAGACGTGTTTAATTGGGTTATAATTGATACATCCTGGTAATTCGTATTAAAAAAGTAGAACATGAGGCAAGGTAAATTAAACCATTATCATAAAGATGATGATACTAATAATGATGATAGAAATAACAAATGATTATGATAAGGATTTGTAAAGTGCCGTTTATTTAACATTTTTATTCCGAGGCACAAAAGAAGAAAAAAAATGTGTGCATGGTGGAAGAAGAAGAGTCATATGAAATGCTACTGTAAATTATTCCAAAAATCATAATCAAGTCAGATCTTATAGTGTCCGGTGGGCTTCGGGCTAATGAAATTGTCTCAGGTTCATTTCTTGAAAGTCACTGCGATCTTATCCAATGTTCTCCCTCTTCAAAACACAGTTTCATCTGTAACACAACCATCAACTGAATCAACTAGCACTAACTTCCAGTCCAAATCACACTCACCTACTAGCTCGACAGGTAATTCAACCACTTCCTTTAATAGAATGTAAATGTCATTTTCATAATTAGTATATAATTATCTGACTATTCTCCCTCGCTTTGCTTTCACGTGACTAGAAAGAAGATGTAGGATTCTTCACTCACTTAAAGTCAAATCAATTTCGTTATTCTCGGAGCTTACATTGGCCAGAGGCCTTTTTGCAATACAATATGATAAGAATAATAATAAATAAGCTTTCATTTAACGTAAAGGGGTGGCAAACATATGTGATTATATATTTTGTCTTTATTTTTTATTGTCTTCTACATTTGTAAAGCCCATTGGTATTACCTTCGGTAATTAAATGCGCTATATAAGAGCTAACTATTATTATTATTATTGTTATTGTTTGTTAATCACGTTATATACACTATCGCAACTAGACGTTTTTAATTGGGTTATAATTGATACCTCCGGATATTTCATATAATAAAGTAAGGCAAGGTAAACGTACTGAGCATCCATTCATTATAATAATGATGATGATTTTTATATTGCCGTTTATTTAAACCTTAAATTCCAAGGCGAGCAAGGAAAAATAGATGTGAAAGAAGAAGAAGGAGAGTCGGAATTTACGGTGCCATACACTCTTAAAAAAAAAAAACGACCACAACGTGGTCATTTTTAACCACGTCACCGGGGCCAACTATGCACCTACTACAACCATGGTCATTTTGACTATGTTTGCCGTGGTCATTTGAAATGACACCGTATCGTGGTTAAAAAATGACCCAAACGTGGTCAATTTATGACCCCGTTTCCGTGGTCAAAACAACACGTGGACGTGGTCATTACGTGGTTTCATGACGTGGTTAAATTAATGATATTATCTGAACATCACCATTCTTCTATTCTCTTTCACGCATCAGGTCACTTTTGACAACCAACCAAACGACAAGTTATGGAGTGCAATGAATTTTCGGCTCAAATAAGTTGAATTTTATTCATATTTCAGAAAACAGTCAATTCGAAAATCAGGAAATGTAACATTTATACAATAATTTACATTAAATGTTTCATGTAGTTTGACCATATTGGTATATAGAATGTGCGATACTCTTATTTTCATATTTTGACCTAAATGAGACCAATGAATATAATTCCCTATTTTCTATATTTTTATTATTATTTTTTTTTTCTAACAGACTGGATGATTCTCGGCTGAAGATAATGAAGATATCACTATTAATTGATCATAATTTAAAACTTGAAATAAAAATGGTTCTAGTATACTTCATATGACTGTGCCGAGTGTGCTTGTTTTAGCATGTTTGCCACAAAGGCGCGTTCACTGGACCATTTTTGATACATGCGCTATATCAAGCGCTCCTATGCTCAAATTTAATCCAACAATTGATTTTGCACCATGGACTAAAATAAACCACCTTTTTGTGAATCACCCACATAGTTTGTATTTAGTGCAGAGGTTAAATGTACAATACAATTTAACAGATCATACATGTAGTTTAGGTTTCACAGTTCAAATCTATACTTCTTAATTTCTTATGGTGAAAATGCAACTTGTTTTTTTTGTTTTTTTGGGGGGGGGGGGGGGGGGTTTTTTTGTTTGCGGATAGTATATATTATTCCAAATTCCTACTCTCAATATAAGGTTTGTAGCCTTCAAATGAAGGAATTGTTTCTCGAAATAAAAAAAGTAACTACAATATTTAAGAGTGAGCAATAAAAGTGTAAATAATTCATCATTCTAATAACCAAACACATTCGTAAACATTGCAGGATTATAAATCAACTCGCATCCTTGCTTCCCATATATGCACACATGAGCCAAGTATGAAGTTGAGCTGTTCAATGTTTCAGAACAATGAACAGGGGATGGATGGGCAGACAACCTGAAAGTTACATGCCTCTAGCTGGCACCCTCCATCTGTAATTGGCACATTTATAAACAATTATAATATTATTCAAGACATATCACAGTATTTCCAGAAACAACAGCTGCTTATACAGTCAAAATGAACCTTTTCACATAGACCTGCTATGTCAAACATATATACAGCAAGGGAAGCATTAGAATACATGAAAATTGTCTCATGCACAAACTTTGAAATTCTTTAGAATTTATATTTTCCTATGATAAAGAACAATGGCAGTTTAACCCCTCTACAACATAATACAGTGGAACCCCGTTATAAAGAGCTCGGATACAACGAAACCCTCTTATTACAAGGTGATTTTACTGGTCCCAGCTCTTTATAGTTCCCCCCCCCCCCCTGATATAACGAAGAACCTGATACATCAAGCTAATTTTCATGGTCCCAAGGACCTCGTTATAAAGAGGTTCCACTGTAAATAAACGTGAAAACCGATTTTACTTTGACCTATTTTTAAGGCCTAGCACCTTCAAATCACGGCCTTGGAACATGTGAACACCACACATTTTTGTCTGAACATAGAGTCAAGGGTTATGAATATGAAGAATTTTAGCTTTCAATTTTTGGCGTCGAAAATGTCAAAGAAGTGGGTCACTTTGATGCTTCTCCCATATGGTTACAGTTGTATTCTGTCTACAATCTTATGACCATTTCCCATGTCACGCGTTTTGTTGTCCATTCTTCATCATGCAGTTTTAGAAGAGACAATGACAAGTTACATTGTAAATAAAAACATTCTGTTCACGGATTACAATATAAGCCCCGGGGGGGGGGGGGGCACTCGAATTATATTTTGACAGGGGTGTGCCTCACGGAACTCTGAAAAGGGGGTCTGAAGAGCGGGCGTGAAAAAGGGGTTCTTTTAAGCGGCACATACCCGTTTCCACATTATACATGAGTGCCCCCCCCCCCCCCGGGATATAATCATTCAGTTTATAAAAACATCAAATCAGAAATACATGTAGCTTGCTTACATGTTATTCTTGTCCCCATTTAATAGACAAGATATCATTATGTCACACTGTACAGAAATAAAAAAACAATGGTGTGTTCAGATATGATGCCACTTTGTCCCACATTTTTTTGTGGACAGGTATAGTGGTTTCAGGGTAACAAGAAAATGTACAGGTAGCTTAGGCAGGCCATATGTTGGTTTGCTGTTTGGCTGAAAAAAAATAAGCACTGGGTCAGATTTATTTTAAAAATTGGCACAAGTTTTGGCAAAAATTCTGCTTTGTTTTGGCTTGGTGCATTGATGCCTTTTCATGAGGTTCGCAGCACAGAGTCTCATCAGATCTGAACAAACTTAAAATAGAGCATAACCCGATACAGAGTGTATCAGAAAGAAAAAAACTTTACACTTTTGAAAAGTCTGTAATGGAGATTTGTTCATGTTTATAGATGCATGCTCAATAATCTCATCTATCAAGTGCCACTAACGAAATTAATTTCATTCACGCTTGGGTGAACATCGACTGAAAATATTGTTGTTTCACACCACTGAAACTTTGCAAAATAGAAATGGGTAATTCCGTGAAGTTGGGGCACAAAGTGTGACATTTAAGCATAACTCAATACTAATTATGCTTTACATGTATTGTTTATAGGTTTTACATTTGTATTGAGACCATATATTTTCCTGGAAATTTTGTGCCATTCAGACTCAATTTTGATGAAGTTATTAAACCATATTTAACAGTGTCCTGTAGCATCGTGACGTGTCCATGTAGCATCGTGATAGTTAAAATCTGGTCCTAAAAGACAAATTAATGCAATTAGCTTGACCAAAATTTGATATAATATGCATAATTACTAGATTAGACAGATAGCTAGATATCTTAACTCTCCTTTCCACAGTTTTACTTTTACAAGAAAATTACACAATGTGTCACTATGCTACACGGTATCCACCAAATGTCACAAAAAAGGACACCGCGTAGCATCGTGATAGATTTTGTAATTTTCTTTTAAAATTAAAACTGTGTACAGGAAATTTGAGATATTTAGCTATCTGACTAATCTTGTAAATATGCATATTGCATCAAATTTTGGTCAAGCTAATTACCATAATTTGTCTCTTAGGATCAAATTTTAAAATATCACAATGCTACATGGACACGTCACGATGCTACAGGACACTGTTACATAATGTTTGATAACTTCATCAAAATTGAGTCTGAATGGCACAAAATTTCCAGGAAAATGTAAGCCTACAAACAATAAATGTATAGCATAATTAATATTAAGTTATGCTGAAATGTATTTTTTAAATATCACGATGCTACCCCCGGGGGGGGGGGGCACTCGAATTATTTTTTGACGGGGGTGTGCCTCACGGAACTCTGAAATGGGGGTCTGAAGAGCGGACTACAAGCACAAAATATAGGGTCTTTGGAGCTACCAAAAACCCTGAAACGGGAGTTAAGGGGACTAAGGAGCTGACTAAAACTACAAAATACATAGACTTGGAGTTACCAAATACTTACTGAAACCCGTCCAAAAGACTAAAAAAAGTCAAAAGTTGCTCAAAACGGCTCAATTGGTGATCTAAGGAGCTGAACTAGAAGAGAATAATGGACTTGGCGATAGTCAAATTCATAGCCAAGTCATTTCGGGGGTCTTTGGAGCGGCAATTTGTGAAAATCGGGTATCTTTAGAGCTGTGATCAGGTGTGAAAAAGGGGTTCTTTTAAGCGGCACATACCCGTCTGACTTTTTACATGAGTGCCCCCCCCCCCCCCGGGATGCTACATGGACACTGCCCCAACTTCATGAAATTACACAATAGGCGGAGGGCCAAAGTCGAAAAAGTGGCTTCCTTAATGGCTTAGGTTGCCAGATCTCTACAAGTTTAGACTGATTTTAATTGCAAGTATTTTTAATAAAACAAATTAATTCAGAGGTCTACCTCAAAAAATTTGTTGCGAAACCTCCAAATCCAAGATGGCGTCCCAAAAAGCAGTTGTTTTGTCTTGCGATATCTAATTGGCGAGATTTCCCAAACGACACCTGGAATCAGCATTATTTTGCAAGCATAGTAAAGACAACATAATTTCCTTTAATCTGATATCAAACACCACGGGGTTTACGATATCTAACACAATCATTTTTAGCCCCAAACTCAAATTTTAGGCATTTTTTGCACAACATATGAAATTATTGATTTACATAATCACGCATAAATCCATAACTGTATCAGCAGGTGAGACAATACTTTTCAAAAAACTGTCCCATGATATCAAACAAATTACCGTGTTAGATATCGTGAACCCCATGGTGTTTGGTATCAGATTAAAGGAAATTATGTTGTCTTTAACATGGTCACATAAATGGTCACAAATATAGCAAGACAAAAACGACTGCTTTTTGGGACGCCATCTTGGATTTGGAGGTGTTCGCAACAAATGTTTTGAGGTAGACCTCTGAATTATGTTGTCTCATTAAAAATACTTGCAATTAAATTCGGTTTAAACTTGTTGTAGATATGCACCCACAACAAAAAGTGAGTCACCCTTACTCAAATTGATGAGTCACTGGTTTGTCCGTACAGTGAAACACTTGAAGGATCGTGTGAGTCACTATGACTCGATACAAATGAGTCTCATTTGTATCGAGTCATAGTGACTCACATGATCCTTCAAGTGTTTCGCTGTACGGACAAACCAGTGACTCATCAATTTGAGTAAGGGTGACTCACTTTTTGTTGTGGGTGCATCATGACATAGACCCCCCTACTCCCTAGGCCTATCACACACATACCATACCATGCCAGAGTCACTGTCCACATTTGCAATGGAAAATATATCCTAAAATATCACATTTTAGCGATGTAATCGGTGGTCCCGCTACCCGAATCTGAAAAATCTACTTTGTACGCACTAAATTAAGCCTTAACTTGAGATTTATTTGTCACCCATACTGTCACGAAACAATCTTGAATTGATTCGTTTTACATCAAATAACAAGGATCTAGGAGTTTCGTTGTATAAAACAATGATGCAAGATCATGCATGTTTTCATTCGACACGGCTTCGTGCGATACAGTAGAATCTATATAGTTAAGTTACACACAGCCTCATCAACTCGAGTGCGGATATCGTAAAATGAACGCATGCATTATTTGTATAATAAGCCCACGAATCCAGTCATAAAAAGCATCGTTTAAAACCATATGAATAATTATGCGTACCAATTTTTCACTAGCTGCAGTCAAAACTCTTCTGAATCCAAGATATAAGATGGCGACGTCGCGTCGTCGATCGGGAATTCAAATATGGCTCGAGAATGCGCATTTTGGATGACGTAACGAAAGCATGCGCGCGCATGCATACAGCCTCACTTTCAAGTTGACTCACTTTTTTCTTCTAAAATGTTCTTATGTCGATCTTGACTCATTTTTTACGACCATGTGAGTCAGTCGAAGCATTTTGCAAATGCGTCAGCTCATGATTGACACACTGGTGAAATATAAATGAGTCAATAGAGACTCATTGGTTATTACTAATGAGTCAATTTACACCTGACTCACGAAAATTATGCTTAAATGTGTCAAATGACTCACTTTTTGTTGTGGGTGTGTGGCAACCTAAATCACTTTTTTCTACTTTGGCCCCCCGCCTACAAATACAATTATCTACTGGGGCAAGTTGGAGTTGGTCAGATGAGCCCTCAGGCTACGGACAGATGGGAGGTACCCATCTTTCCTTTTACATTGTCACTGATCTCAAAGACATATTTCTGCACAAACTCCCATGTCGTATAACATTGAGGCGCATACTCTACATCAAATACATATATCATCTTGAAGCAAAGATCAATGGCCTTCAAAAGGGAAGGGGCTGCCATGGCCCTTCCCTCAAAGATGACGAAAGCTTGGGCGGGACGAGAGCGCTCTCCTAGAAGAAGAACAAACGGTTGCCTTCTCTCATCTTCAGGCATCGAGGTACCTCGGTAGATTTGTTCCAACCTATGAAAAAAAAAAAGATTATTCACATTTTATTTCCACTTACAATAGCATAGTTGCCACTGAATTATTTAAGAGTTGCCAACCTTTCTTTAAAAAGAAGAAAATTTGTATTGACTGTGTACAAAACTCAAGTTTTTGCACAATTTTAGGAATGGTTGCAAAAAAAAACTAAAAAAAAAAAAAAAGGGCCCCAAGGAAATCCAGTGTTCTGCTGATAGAGCTACTCTTTTTAAATATATGAATTAAATAAATAAATAAATATATTTTTTAGAAATGGGCATAAGAAACTGTAAGAACGGGTGTGGCAAATTTGTTCTGTAAAGCTGCGCGATACTGGGAAGTTAAAATGTCATCAATTGTCATGACGAGAGCACGTCACATGTAAATATCGCACAGAACGTCAAGGGGTGGATTCCATATTTTGGTAATATAAATTAATACAAAAGTAACATATATCCATATAAATAAGCCCAAGGTAATTTTATACGACTATGCTTTCATTTAAAACTGATTACCTCTCCTTTTACAAAATTATTCGCGCCGATTCTGAGCTTAGTCACATGTGATTCTAAAAGGTTACACCAAATTGAACACATGGGACTGGACTAGAAATCGCCGTGATTTATTTTGTAAGTGAAGAGTTAATCAGTTGGAAATGAAAGTATACCCATGCAAGATCACCTTGGGCCTATTAATATGGATATTTGCTTTGGTATTAATTTTTATTCCCGAAATATGTTTTTTGGGGAGTTTTTTTTCAAATAAAAAAATACGATTCTTTTTTTTCTTTTTTTTTTCCCCGATCATCTCCGATCCGATCAGCGATCCGATTTTGAAGATCAACATTTTTTTGCCCATCCGATCATACGATCCGATCATCAAGGTTCGCTACACCACTACTGAGCGCCCACCCGCCCGCCCGACTGGCCAACATCACGCTGATTCCTATAAACCCCCTTCCAACTATAATTGGCGGGGGTATAATTACAGTGTATTATCCACCAGAATACAGCTTTCCGACCTGTAAGACAGTATCGGAATCAGGAAAGCATTCTTGGTATATAAACTTAGCCCTAAAGAAATACCTGTAGTGTCCTACTTACTGGTTGCTGATCAATGAAGGCATTTAACGCCTCGGAGTGTGTGGCATTCCTAAACCGCCCTGGTGTGTTCCTCATCCTCCCTGGTGCCAGGAACAGGGGGAGGCACTGGAGGGCAACCTGGGGATCCTCTGCTGTATTTCGAAAACAAGGAAATGGAAACACATGTAGGAGAGGAAGCCTTTACATGCCTACAAAGTTTAAAAACGCCATCCTAAATTAAACAAAAGTATTTGAAAGTATCATACAAGAAGTACATTATGCTTAACATGTCAATTGTGAGACTGCAAATGCATAATTGAAAATTACCTTTTCAAAAAATCTAAAGGTTATGGGTACAGTGGTTTTCAAATATTTTCAGTTTCCTTCACACTTTCTAAAACAATCTCACAACTTTGCAAACATTCACTGGACGTCTTTGTGACAGTGCATGTATTTCTCCGTATTGTCAATATTTGGTAAAATCAGCAAAGGTTCTATTTACATGAATTTCAACCACCCCCAAAATTTAGCATTCAGATAAAACCATTTATATAGGCCTAAAGACTGAAATATCTGCAGAATTGTCTTTTGTTTGTGTAGCGCATAACACATAGTATTAAAACATGACCCTAAGCGCTCTAGAGAAAAACACAACAGAATACAAAGACAAGATTAGCCACCTTTCCTCCAAAGAAGCATTAAGTCCCTTGGAAGTTACATTTTATTTTCATATGACTATTCAGATACTCGATCATTCCAATTTTACGTGTTTGAATGTTTGTACGAAATGTTACTGCAATTAATAAAAAATGGGATCATAGTACGATCATATAATATGCGGTGGGCTTTAGTAAAATCGTCTCAGGTTCATTTCTTTAAATAGTCATTGCGATCTTATTCAAAGTACTTTCTTTTCAAAATACAAAGAACCATCTGTAACAAAACAACCATCAACTGAACCAATCAGCACAAACCTCCAGTCTAAAGCATCCACCCCTACTAGCTCCACAGGCAAATCAACCACTTCCTTAGAAGGTAAATGTCATTTTCATTATTGTAATCATAATAATAATAATAATAATAATAATAATAATAATAATGTAACTTATATCGCGCCAAATCCACTCTGTGGAGTGCTCAAGGCGCGTGTAAACAGGAAAAAAGATCAAGACTTGAAAAGGAATGTTTTGAGATGTTTTAATAATAATAGTTCGTTATTTTATAGCGCATTTCAGGACCGAATGCTCTCTCAGAGCGCTTTACAATGTACAATAATTCGTTAACGTTAAACATGTCATATTTCACAAGATTCCTTCATATTTCCCCTCCAATTTTGTTTTTCTTACCGTGGATATGTATGACTGTTCTCCCTCGTTTGCCTTTACCTACACGTGACTAAAAAGAAGATGTAGGATTATTCACTCAGTTCAAGTCAATTCAATTCAACTCAATTCAATTTCGTTTTTCTCGGAGCTTTCTCTGCACAAAGTAGCTAACATATGTAATTAAAGAAAGGAATTTCGTTATGTTCATGATCGCAACTATAGACGTGTTTAATTGGGTTTAGATCGTAATTCGTAGAAAAGCGTATATAAGACAAGGTAAATGTCGTAAATTATCCATTCGTGATGATCATGATGATGATAATAATGATCATGATGATAACAATAATGATAGTGCTAACAATAATGATGATAAGCATTATTTTGTATGGTGCAGTTTATTTAGAAGCTATAGTCCAAGGCACACAAGGAGAAATAGATAAGAAGAAGAGAAAGAGTCGGAATATACGTGTGCCATATTATTGACATGCTCTAACCCCATCTATGGACACAATATAATTATGTATTTACTGCTCTCCCAATATATGCATGTCCATTTGGGTAAATGGTAACGATGCTAGATACTTGTTTTACACACAGCTCCGTATGCAGCTATAGGCGGTGGAGTAGCAGCAGCAGTAGTGGTAGTATGCATCATTATCATCATTCTCGTTTATAGATGCAAGTGAGTATGGTTACATTCTAAGGTTATAAATAGTCCTTTAAATGTAAATTTCAGGTACAGATGAGAATTCAATTTCAATCAATCATCAGTGTTATGCTATGGACACATTACCCAAAAGTAGCCTGCTCGGCGGCCGAGCGGCGAGTTTTTAGCCAATTTTGCCCGGCCACCGAGCGGCGGCCGCCCAGGCACCGTTTTTTTTTAGGCATCGCTCGGTCGCTGCTGAAGTTTTTGGGCGGAGTTAAAATTCGGGCGGCGCCTGCTAACTTTCACTCCCCGCCCAAACTACGCTCGGTGATCGGGCGTTCGCCGCCCGGGCGCCGACCTAATCGAGCGTTAATCACCGTCGAGCGATTTAGGTCAAAAATCGAAGCCGCTAGGTCAAAGGCTTTCGAGTAGTCGCCGCCCGGTCGCCGCTGGGAGATCAGTCGGTCACTGGGCGGTGAGTTCAAAATCAGTCGGCAGCCTTCGACCTAGCGGCTTCGATTTTTGACCTAAATCGATCGGCGGCGAACGCTCGATTAGTTCGCTGCACGGGCGGCGAACGGCCGGGCACCGAGCATATTTTTAGAGCCCCGCCGGTCACTGGTCGGCCGCCATGCAATATCTTTAAAATCAGCCGGCGGCCGGTGGAAGGCTGCTCGGGAAACGGTGGGTCACCGGTCGGTCACTGCCGGTACACCGCACAGAAAAGCTCCGCGATTTCGCCCAGTTTTGGCCTAAAATCGAGCGGCGACCGACGGGAAATCGACAGGGCACCGCCCAGGCATCGCAGGCGCTCTACAGCCTGCTCGCCTGATCGCAGGGCGATGCCTAAATTCCAGCGGCGACCGAGCATGCTACTAATCGGTCGGTCGCCGCTCTGATTTGTGACCATAGCTTTACGTCAAAAAGCTTTAAATAGGCAGTTATAAGCTTTTTGCAAGAGGTTCATCCTCCATTTTCAAAAAGGTCACATCATATTTCAAAATGTTAAAAGCGAGGTAAAACAACTTTTTGGGGGGAAGAAAAGAAAATACAGCCAGATAAACTCTCTGACAAAAACCAAACTGTTAATCATTATTTGCAAACAGTATATTGGTGAAATAATTCAGTCAGTGAAAATAAGCCTACCCGGCCATGATAGCTGACAAGTATTGTTTCTTCTCCTTACTTATTGCCTCTCTCCTTACTAGGTGCAAGCCGCAACAAGACCCAAACAATGGTTCCGGTCTCGAGGAGATGGCAGGTGAAGAAGCACCACCTCCTGGGTACGAGACTACGACTTTGGCTTTTCCCGAAGCTTCTGGCAGTGACTCTTTGCGCATGAACATGGAGGTAAAATATCCAGAATCGAGCCGCTAAAAAGAAGATTGACCAAGAATCCGGGGGGGGGGGGGTGTGGATGTTTCACAAAAACTAAGATCGCCTCTAAGTTGGACTTAACTATGGCAGGCCATTCATTCCACTGGTTGCTCTCACCATTCGTCTCGCAATCATTAGATAATATTTTTTCCTTCAATAATTGATGATAAAAAAAGTACATTCTGTAGATTTGAGACCATAATTTGAACGTACGTCCCTTGAGAGACCAATGCCAGTAAATGGTGAGAGAAATATTATTGTAAGTTGGTTTCAGTCGTTGTGAAACACCCCCAGGACTCATACTTCATCTTCGATTAGAAAATCCACGGGATACCTCTTTATTAATGCATTCTTTGTAATGTCTGCCTGTAAGATGTATGTCTTCTAAATAATTTGTCTTGTTTGGCATCAATAAAAACCTCCATAATATAATTATCGTCGCTCTGCAACTGACAGAACTAAAATAATCATTCCCAAACTCAGACCCTCATCAACTGAAAGATGTTTTAAAGTGGCTGCATCGAATATGTGGAACGACGTCGCACTTTTCATCAGTAACTAAAAATAAGAACTCGTCTTTGTTTTTAAAAGGTCACCTCCCCCCCCCCCTTCCGTGATATAAATGATTTGATTTAATTATGTTCTCAATAATGGTTCTATTATGCTTATTTTATTATTCTTTGTAAGCTTTTTATTTTTGCTTTGGTATTTTTGCTTTGGTATTTTTGTGTATTGGTTTTAATTTAACGCCTCTAAATATTGGATATTACTATCATTTTATATCTTTAAGAACGGCCAGCAAGGTGAGATCGAGAATGAATATTTAACGCCCCGAATGAAGAGAGGGACCATGCTACAAGCAGAGTATGTCAACATGAATACCAGAGACAACCCAGTAGTCATGGTAACGGAGGATATCTACGAAAACATGGCGGACAATGCCGCAGGTAAACACGTCGTAACTTCGAAGGAAGCGGAATATTCGGTTGTAATCTAAAGCTCAAAGGAGAGAAATCTGAATTCATTATTTTATAGGCTCAAAGGTAATGCTGAAAAACATCCCGGAAAACTTCATATACAATTTGTGATGCTCAAATCAGCCCTGGCCTGCAAATAAATGCCGGAACCTCGATGTTCTCATCGATTCGAACATGACAGTGTAACTAGTGTAACTAACTGGGCGGGGCTTAACGTGACCTCGAGCGAAAGGAGACCAGACTGTAGAGTTTCAGGATTACTTTCTTCTGTTTATGGACATCCTTGAATTTATATGATGATTATTTATATGACGTTTCTTGTGTGTGGACACTTTGAAATTTATACGATGATTCTTTATACGACGTTTCGTTATAGAGTTTCGCGATAAATTGTTTTGTGTGTGGACACGCTGTCTAAATCATAATATATCCCACACATGTATAGCCACTCAGATTCCAACTCTGCAACCTTCGCACATACGAAAATTTGTCTCACCTCCCTGCTGACCTGACGCGTAAGGTTACTGAAACATTGGACTTGGTTCATTCTCTTATTTCTTCCCGGTAGGACTTTTAAATTCTCTTCTAATACATCTTCCTGACTACCAGCTACAACGCCTCCCACAACTCCATAGACTCAGTGGCCAGACTTGTAGCTCTCACTACAGGCACCACTCACATCTCACCCATCCTTCATCAGGCACTGCACTGGCTTCCTGACCGCCAGCGTATCATCTTCAAAGTCATTCTTCTCGTATATCAAGCTTTTCATTGGACTGCACCCTCCGACATACAAGACCTACGAACCACCACGACGACTCCGCTCTGCTCACACCTAACTTCTTTGCATCCCACGTTCACGTCAATCCTGGGCCGTGAAGGCGATCGCTTTCAAGTTCTGGCCCTGAACTGTGGAACACACTCCCTCCTCCCCTCCGAAATGGAATAACCTCTTTATGTTTAAATAGTAAGGCCAAAAAAACAAACCATGTTTAGCGTCCTGTTTTTTTTTTAAAAATAGGAAGGAGGAGGCCCTTTTTTTCAAAGTGGCCGCTCAAAATGGCCGCTCGGTACATTTTACCTGACAGTCGGGCCATTTTTCAAGATGGCCGCCGACATTTTTTTATATTTTTAAATCAGAAATACATCCATTTTAACAGTTTTTTCATGTTTTTTTTCTTTAAATTATTTTTTTTTTAAATTAAAACATTTCATTTAAAAAAATCAACAACAAAAAAGAAAAGGAGGCGGCCCCCAAAAAAGGAAGCGGGTGGGTACGCTAAACATGTTTATTCTTTTAAATGGCCTAAATGCTTAATTCTGTAACTTGCATTGAGGTATGGAGAAACAAGATAATCAGTTAAATTATACTGGAGGCGCACACAAGTAGTTAATTCCAGTCAACTTAATTGTATTGTATTAGTAACATTTTATTCTAGTTCTACTTTTAAGCTATTGAACATGTTGAATAATTATACTGAGTTAGACAGTACTACTTGTGCGCTTAGATAAATGTACTTATTGTGATTATTGTTATATATCTATTAGTGTATCCTAACTCTTATACTTTTGTGATTATGATGATGATACAGGTGCCATTGCCCCTACATTTCGTCTTCCTTTTTATTGCTATTATTATTATCATTAGTAATTATGTTCTCATTTTCATTATAGGACTAATAATGGTATTAGTACTAGCATTAGTATTAATATATATATTTATTCTCTCTCTTAAATTATGTTCGAAAATATACAGTGAAATTAGATTACAGGCGGCGACATGTTTAAAGAGCAAACGCTTTTGTGTCGGGAGTGCCGTATAAAACCTAAAGAAAAACAAACAAGAAGCCAATATATTTTAAATTTAAAAAAGTTATTATGGGCATAAAATGAATGACAGAAAAAGGATTAGTTGATAAATACACTGATAAATAAATGCACACTCTTGATATTGTGTAATTTTACTTAAAGTTAAAATATGAAATCAGAATGTAATTGTTATACCCTTGTCTTTGGATGTACTCCGAAGTTTTTGCGGATAACCCTATTTAACATCAGATAAGTTATATTTGTATGGTATGAACTCCCCAAAACTAATCTAGTAATTAAGAACATTATGGAAGGATCAACGAACAGTGCAACTTTCTTCAAATGTATTTTGTACATTGCATAAATCTTCATATCATGCATGAACATTATAATGACGTTTTTAAACACGTTAAATAGAACGTGGCTCTATTTCTTGTAGAGAAGCTTTTATGTATCTGAATATGGTATGACTGTATTTCATAGTTCATACATTATTGGTTGAGAAAAAAGAACATGAGTGTATTTTAGGCTGATGTCGAATATTACATTTTTAATCAGAATCACAGCTATTTCGTTGTTTCATAGACTGGTATGTATGTAGCTGTGAAAAGTATGAATGTTCTTTGATGAGAGTTATAAGAAAATATTTTGGTAAAGGGAATAATACTCTTGTCATAATCAGATATCAGTTTGCTCTGTATAAACTTACACATTATTGACAATTTCTCTCTTTCCGAAGAATATAATTCAAGATAGCGCCATCATGTGTTATGAGAAACAAAAGTTGATGGCTCAGAACTTCAGGACTGGTTTGCAGGTCTATATAACAATATAGTGACCTTTGAGTGAGGAGGTCTAGTCTCTATACCTTTTTATTTAAATCAGCCATTAAAGGTACTATGTCCCTTTTGCAGTCAACCTCAATTGCTGTAGAACTTTGCAGGAATTATGAATATGTCATGTATGTCCTATCTGTGAAATTTAAACGTTAGCAGTGTCCTCATATTCAAATTATGCAAGGAAACCCGTTTACTTGCTAGACTTCACTGTCAGACACTATTGAGTGTCTGACTGGCTTTTTTTCTTCTTTGGTAATAACATACATGAAAAGAGTTGTCTACATCAATAACCCACTTCTTGTGATGGCCAAGATTAAACTGATTGAATCTTTGCGCAGCATAAAACGTATGACCATTCGGTACTATTGTCTGAAAATCAAGACTATTACTTTTGGGTTCTATAGCCCTACAGTCGATTTGACAACTAATAGTCGTTATTTTCCCACTAGAAGACATTTTCAAGCCCCAACTTTTTTAGGGAAGTTCTAAATTAGTATTATCTTTCAAATGCAGTTGGAATTTAACTTTTTCATTTTTTGGCCTGCAAATGGGACATAGTACCTTTAACACGGAAAATTGATAACTATCGGAGCAATTTATACCGAAATTCCAGTACTCACGTTATCATGTTTAACATTTTATTTATTTAGAGAGAGAGAGAGAGAGAGAGAGAGTAGGGAAAAAAAGAGAAAGAGAAAAAAGAGAAAGAGAGATAGATGAAAGAAGAGAAGAGAGAGAAAGAGAAAAAAGAAAGAGAGACAGAGAGAATGAGAGAGAAAATGAGAGAGAAAGAGAGAGAGGATAACAAGAAAGAGAGGAGGAGGGAACAAAGGGAGGTGAGAGCATAATACAGGATAACAAAAAATAGAACGGGGAGAACCAACTTTGTCTCCAAAATTAAGGTAAAAAAAGAAAAGCAATTTGTTACATACTGACCATATGTCAACCAAAGAAAGGGATAATAACTGATGTACATCCAAATTTGAAACGCATAAAATTGTCGTCGTGATAATTATATTCACAATTGAATAGCGTTTAAAAGGGAAGTCTCATGTGATATTAAGTTGGTTTAAACAAAAGCAGAAAAATGAGAGGGACATATTAGTAAGATTTTGAGCAATATCCAACTACAAATTGGAAGGTTATGATTTTGTTAAAGTTGCCATCAGTGAAACTGGCGTCAATATGACGTAATTTGCGAGTTCCTCTTCAATTTGTTCTGTTCGGAAACATGTCATGAACTTTCATTTTCTTTGTAATTGATGACGGAATAGATCTTTGTTCATACAGGCGTTTTATACAATTTTTTTTTGCAATAATCGTATTTAAGGTAAGTGTATGATTGAAGACTTTCTTAAGGGAAAATATGAATTTTTGAAGTAGATTTAGTACAGGGAGCTCGCAAGATTTGTCACAGAGTTGCTATTTTTTTTTTATTAATAGCACCTGCCAAAATTCATAACTTTCTGAATTTCAATCGCTCAGCCCCGAAAGAGGTCGAGTAGATGGTATCTAGTCGTGATGCCTGGCTTCTCAGCCTCTGATTGTTTTTGTTGGGGCTCAGTTCTCATCTGGAATTTTCCTTCCTCCTCTCTGCATCTGCTTCTTACTCTTCATATACTCTTTGAGCGAGCCCCTTGATCTATACTACGAAACATAACAACATATTAAAGTAGTCCAATAATTACTTCGACTTTTTAAACACTTTACACAAATTAGGATAACCTTTTCCCATTGGGAGCTGTACAAGGCAATTTCAATTGATATTTTGTCCGTAAACAACGGGGCTGAAAATAGTCCTACTAACGTAATTAAACATGACAATCGTCAACAGTCTCCTTTGTCTTTCAGTTTCCCTGGCTATAATAATCTCTTTAACCAGTCCCTTGCTTACACTCAAATATTCAATGAAATGAAGCTGGGAACAGGGCTGTGTAGAATGGAAGGGCGGGTTACTCTGACAGTATTCACAGGCTTCCATTGTCTGAGAACTAGCAATCAAATATACAGAGGTTGTTTATTAATCTATCTTCCCCTTTGGGGTCATGTCAACTAGGGACATGGGTATGCAGAATGGAGGTTTGATTCTTTATCACTTTCTACTTTCTTTTGTAGAATTTTTCGGGGGGTACTCTCCCTCAAGCCCCCTCTATGATTAGTAGGAGAGTTCTTGTATTATACTCGCCATCTTTTCTTGACTCCACACTTTGAATTGACCTTGAACGTTTGATTAATGTCAAGAGTTGCTATCTATGGAATCGCTTTACGGGAAGGAATCCTAATCGGCGCCAAACGAGGAGCTTCTGAAGTGGAGTTGATCTTATCATATTATATACCCGTTCTTTCATCCAAAAAAGTGGCTCTTCTTGTACATCGACGCTACTGATTATAGCGCCATTCGTTAAACATGGTTTTCATTTTTGTATTCATTAAAAGTGACTTTATATAATTTAATAGTGAGAAAATAGATAATATAAATTGGCCTCAGTCGAATCACGATCGCAACTGCTTTTGAAATCTCAACGCATGGGCGATTTCAATACCCTGTTGTATGTCCCATAGAAATCCTGTTTAGATTACGTAATTACGTAATACGTCATT